GAACTGACTACGATATCTATGGATTTTTAAGGTAATCAGCTAACCTACCTAGTTCACTCTGTTATTGGTGTTTTACTCAATTTAAATATCTAAACGTTACTGTGAAGAAGAAAAATATAAAACGTTTAAATATCAATTTGCACATGTGAGGGACATTGGTATGCAAATCTTTGCTCGCTCCTTTTAAGTTATCTCGAGTTAAACCGCAAAAAAATGAACAAGCACATACAAAAGACCTGGACGGAAGCGACAGTGTTGTAGTACTCGAGACTCGGACTCGTCTCGGACTCTGTCTCGAGACCATATTTTTAATGGTCTTGGTCTTGTCATGGACTCGGAATTGACTCGTACTCGAACATTTTTTTTTTTTTTAGGACTCGGAATTATTCCAGAGTCCACTCGAGTTCAATTAAAAATATTTTTCATGATTATTAATGTATGTTAATAAAATATTTCTTTAAATTGATTGACACGCCCAGTGATTGGTGATTTTCTAGTGCGCAACTGCGCATGACAAATTGTAATAAAATTACTTTTAACACCACCTACTATGTGGCCTTTTTACCCTAAACTGATCATATTTTTTAAACTCTAAGTAAATTCAGTAAAAAAAAAAAAAAAAAAAAAAGATTTCTCTAAGTAAATAAAAGTAAATTAGGTAATCAACCCTCACTGGTCTCGGTCTCGACTCGGACTCGACCGTCTCTGGTCTCGACTCGACTCTCTATGGACTCGGTCTTGACTCGGACTCGACTCTCTCTGGTCTCGGTGTCGACTCGGACTCGAGTGAGGTGGTCTCGACTACAACACTGGGAAGCGATGCAACCTGTTTTACAGAATGCGGAAGTAAGTTGTGCATATAGCCTATTGCAGAGCTCTTTAATTTAATTAGAGAGCTCTGCAATTGCATTTTCACTATAAAAACTGAATTAGAGAGCTCTCTAATGTTACTAGTAATAATTGGATTGGAGAGCTGTAATTCTTACTAGTAACAATTCAGTTGTAGAGCTCTCTAATTAAAAATGAATGGAAGTCAGTGGAGACATATAACTAGTAAAAATTTAATTTGTAGAGCTCTCTAATTGATTGTTACTAGTAAAAATGCAATTACGACGAGTAAGGCTGGGTACATTTAAGCTAAAACGGCTTGCCATACCTTCCTCACACTCACACTCACCTCTCTCTTTTCTATAGGTCATGGAATTGTCAATAAACCTGATTTCATTCCAGCCTTTGCATCTCATTCTACCCTTAATATCCTGGGCTTGACTGAGACCCGGATCCAACCCCTGCTGTTCTAACAATTTCTCTTTCCAGAACATTCTCATTCACGGTTCCATGCTGGTGGAAGGATCTCCCACCCTTATCCGGAATGCAGAATCCCTGTCAACATTTAAAAGACAACTGAAAAGTCCTTTTTTTCTGTGAGATCTTAACATAACTCAAAAAACAAAAAATACCCTTTTCTTTTAAATTCCTGCTTATCTGGCTTATGCTACCCTGTGCAATGTCTGAACTTTGTATTTTGTATATTTCACAATGACTCACTTGGTTTAGTCCTCAGTTGTAAGTCACTTTCGGATAAAAGCGTCTGCTAACTGTAAACTTCAACGGGATCAGGGTTTTGTGGTCAACATAATCATGTCCTTTGCGTTGTTGAAGTCACAACGTGTAAGGGAGAACAGTGGGGTTAACATTAGAGGAGTAGTTCACTTTTAATAAAAAAAAACAAAAAAAAAAAAAAAACTTTTGCTGATATTTTACTCACTCCCATATCATGCAAATGTCTGTCTTTCTTTCTTCAGTCGAAAACAATTAAGGTTTTTGATGAAAACGTTCCAGGTTTTTTCTCTATTAATAGACTTTACTGGTAACCAAATGGTTCAAGATCCAAATGAGAGCTTGAGTACAAACTCCAAACTGTTCAAAGGGCTTTAAACGATTCCAGACGATGAATAAGGTCTTATCAGCGAAACAATCACTAATTTAAACAAATTAATAAAGTTTAAGTTTAATAAGCACAATGGTCACTTTGCTCTGTTTCTGTGATGCGTGTGCGTGACTCGAATGAACCAAATGAACGTGTTGAATGAATCAATGACATGAAAAAAGATTTGTTCATTTAGCTAAACGAGTTCGACCGGACTTGGTTGCGCTTACAAGAGGGTAAAAACAATATAAATATTGTTTTTCACACTCGTTTTGTGCCTTAGGCCATCATGTGTACTTACATTTACCCGTCATTAAATCATGTTTAATTTTTAATGCAGCACTTTGGCATCCTT